TTATAAATATATAATTTTTCTACAAATATAATAATAATAATAATAATACATTTATAACTGTGTATATACTATATATATATGTAAAATTATATAGGATTAGTATAATTATATACATAAAATAGCTTCATAAATTTGAATACAAAAAAGAAAAAAAAATTTATAAAGAGCTATTTTGGTAAAATAATAGAGTTAATGATAATTAATTTTATTTATAAGTTAAGTTTGTTGGCTTTAAACAGTGTAAATGAATGAAATTAAACTGTGGCAATGAAACGTCGTTAAATGTAAACTGTAGCAAGGCGAGTGTAACGTTCTTCTTCGTTGCATCATCTTTCTATCGTTATTGCATCAGTTTAAATGGTTTAGTATTAAGAGGAACTTTAGTGTTTTTAATACATAAAATATATTTATATCCTAAAAGAATTTTTTCTAAAGTACACAATTGTCAGGCTTTAAATAGTAAAATGCATTATCGTAAAAACTGATGTACTTTTTGTTTTTTTCTTTATAACTCGACAATAGAAGCAAGTCCATTAAAGGAGTGAAAATATTACATAAATTTATTTTTTTTTTCAATTTCATTTGTTTATAATGATTTAGAACTATAAAACAATTCTTTATATATACTTTCTTCAGTTACTACTTGATTAATAAGCGTATAAATTTAATGTAAAAACTTTTTATTGTTGCATCATTTAGACGTAATCACTCGTTAAGATGCTAACAAAATAAGGAATTTTAAATTAAATACACACTTTTCACCATTAAAAATATACACATCCAATATAGTATGAATCAATATTAAAGTGATGAAACCGCATTCCTACCTTGCACCATTTTTTTTCTAATAAAATTCTCATTTGCATATTTACCCCATTTTAAAACTTTCTAATATATTAAGGTTAAAGTTCAAAAAGTAAAAAAAAAAAAAAAAAGTAAAAATTTAGAGCAAAACAGTTTTTAAAAAGGTGAAACGTGAGTCACCTCGAGCGACGTGACATTACACACGTGCAACTCTCCCCCTTCCAGGTCACGTGACCTATAAATTACTTCGAAGATGACTCAAAATTAAAATGTGGTGAAAAATCTTTGACGAAATCGTGACGTCAACAATCATCCGATAGAACCGATAGCATTGAACTTTTTTTTTACATTCACGTCACAAACCCGCATGAATAAAGGCTAACCGCATTTTCTAATCGTCGAATGTTCTAGATACAGAAAAATCACACACACACACACGACCTTTTATCAAATTTCATTTTTTTTATTAAGAGATGCGCCATTAAAAAATAAGATGGACATCCTACAGTAGCGAAAAATACATTAAAGAAAATACAATATTGGAATATTAACCAGATTTGAACTTTCTTGGTATAATTTTACAATATACAGTACAATTATTATTATTATAATTCTCTGTTGAACAATGGTTAAATATTTCCAATTCGTCTTTTCTAAACGCGAACAAATAAGATACAAATTAGGTAAAATAAAAAAAAAATCTTTTTTTAATACTTAAATAGTGACTTGTATAATGATAGGAAACGTGCAAAAAAACTTTTTTTTTACAATACAGTTTTACATAGGATGAAAGAGAAAAAAAAAATCATCACAAGTGCAATTAAATGCTTCTTTTTCTTATATGTGTCGAGAAGAAAGCAGCCTGAAGTAAGTAGAAAGCTGCCTATTTTTATAACATGAAAAAGATCAATTACTACACACGACAATCATTCAAAAAAAAAAAAAAGGAAAAATAATCACATGTTCCCACACATTCTTAAAGATTGTGCGTACTATGGCTTTTTTTTTTTTTTTCTTTTATGGATTCGAATCAGCTACTGTTCGACCTATACAATTTTTTCTTGCGAAGTGTATAGCTTTCGCTGATGACTAAAGCTCGATCTTTCCCGAATTTTTTTAAAAGTCGTTCAGGTACAAGTCGTGTCAGGTTAAGCCATTTATTACAGTCCTGTCGAAGATTGAGTGTGATTTCGAAGGTCGAAACCGTATCTGTATCACAGACCACTTTGCCTAACCTATGGCACGCATTCTTCTCTTCCAAATTTATGTAAATCACGCAACCTCTCAGTCCGCAGGGTTCACTTTCGGACATCTTCAAACAGTCTTTAGCTATTCTTAACGTTAAATTATTCGGGATTAAAACTTCACCACACTGCAGACGAGATTTGGATTCCCTCAAACGATCTTCAACCCTCTCTGCTAATAATTTGCATTTTTTTAATTCTAGCGCGTCTTCAAACGGCGTGTTTTCTATTTTAAAAAAATAAAAAAGGAATAAAGTAAGTTAACTTCATTTAATATTGCTTTTGGATTTTTTCTAAATTAAAAAAATAAGGTGCTGAAACTTACCATTTAGGTCGAACCAGTCGCACTCTGTTACGGGCATTTCGGGTGTTTTCAACGTACTTTGCAACTTCATGATTGGATTCTGTTGGGTTGTGTTACTTAACAAGTGTCTATCACACCTCTTGGCAAGTTTTAACTTGACGTGATACTCTTTTTCATAACCCATACGCCGGTAAAAGTCCCCTAGCAGCAACTCGCACAAGATCCTAAACTCGTCTGACAGATCGCCTCCAACAACAGCTGATATATAAAGGCTATCAGTCATTGGGCTACAACTGTCTAATCACGTACAAGGACAAACCAATGTCAACCAATAAGCGACGTCCTAACAAGCATAGCAACCGAACACGTGGCTTCTTCTCTATTCTATATTGTTTCTATTTAAGGTGTGCAGATTTTCCTTTATTGTCTTCTAACTATTGTATGGTTTAGGTATATTTTACTTCCATTATTATAATATGATAATATATTTTTTAGTGTTTATTTCATCAGTTTTTTTACACTGTATATAAGTTTAATCGAAACACAATAAATTTATAAGGAAGACAATACAAAAAAGTGTATTTTTTTTTGTTTAGTTTATCGTTTTTGACTTGTTTAAACTTGTTTTTTTTTATAAATTTTTTTAATGCTGTTGCTACGGTATGTGTCATAGAAGATAGAAAACAAAAATAGTTTTATAAATTATAATCTATTAGCCTTATATAAACTTTTTCTTTTTTTAAAAAAAAAAAATAAAGAAATAAATAAATTTTGTTGGTAACTAGGGTATCTTATCAATAAAATTTTGGACAAAGTGCGGCAAATTATATAGACTAATCATTTTTATCTAGGTCTAGTTTGAATTATTAAAAGTTATTAAATTATAGGTTTATATAGGGGTAGGCCTATGTGTTTTTTTTAACTTTTTGAATAATATTTTCTACTACTCAACATTTCATTATTGATCAATATATTGTTAAACATCATTATCATGCAATGCGGAAAAATATAGAATTTATGCTAATGATTCTATACATTATACATTATATGGGTGCTATAGATTGCGTATACACATATAAAAATCTATAAAAATGCATGCAATCTTATTATATTCTAGGTTAAATTTTTGATATAAACTGGAGATTAGTATGACTAATTTTTCGTTATGACTAGTAATTGACGATAAATATTGCATGACAGTTTGTGAGATAGTGTTTAGAAAAAAGTCTATCAATGTTTAAATAAGTGTAAACAAAAATGAAAATCTCTCTTATTTTACACAGTTTTATTTACGATTAATTCTGTAGCAAATTATGCAACGTCTTGCAAGAAGAAGTTTTCTAGAAATTGTAGAATTTAATCAGGAATTGTTGAATTGTTTGCACGAATTTACGTGATTTGTCGCACATAAATCGTTTTTTTTAATCTGTAATCGTGAGTAAAAGAAGCTGTCGGGTTTAAGATAATAAAATATAAAGAATTCTGGATGGTGACAAACATGTTTACCATTAAATGACGTCACCAATAACGGTGTGACACCACTAAGACACCTGGTATTCACCTTTAATATTTAATCACCTTGATAGTTAATTAGGTCAACGTAATTGTCTCTGTACACTGTTGAAAATATTTCTATATAATAACTATAAGCATATATATATAAATGTTTACTACCACTCAAAAATTCCTACACCCTTTCTATAACATATTTAAAACATTTTAATGATAAATAATTCATTATCTATAACATCTTTCATTGTTATATTTTTGATATTCTAGAATGTTTCGCAACGTATTGAGTGGTGTATTCTTTCCATTCTTAAACGGAAATATGCTGATGAAGATAACCGGATATACGTCATGCATCCTAAGAAAAGAAACTCTCGTATCCGACAATAACGACTTTTTGAATTTTTCTAGGGATGGAAATTTTTTCCTTTCCGTTCTATGCAATTATTTTTAGATTTTTCCATTCTTTATAACAATAACGAGATGCGCATTTTTTTTTTATAATGCTTTTCTGATCATTTTTAGACTGGATTTTTGTAAGTAATTTATTTTTGAATTGATCGAATATTAAAAAATATCTACAGAAAAATCTACCAGTCGATNTTTACTAATAAATATGTTTATTACATAAAAAATAACAAATAGTAAAGTCATTATAGGTTGACCATATTATTTATTCTAAACAGCTATATCATCTTTATGATAATATGAAGAGCGCATAAAACCGGATATTAAATTTCTTCACGGAGCCAAAAAAAAAGTTTAATAGTTTTTTTTTTACTTTTTTGATCCATTTATTTTCAGCTAAATTAAGATCAAACGTATTGTAAGCACCTGAAATAATAGCTATTTGCTACGCTCTGTGGAACAAAAATCCGCCTTTTTGCTTGGATTTTCTATCTTTTTTTTTAATAAAAAAAAAAACATGGAATATAGCCTATTTTAAGAAATTAAGAAATATTTTCCAACTATATTTATTCAGGATTATAGGCTTATAAGCAGTTTTAAAACATTGCAAACCCGCTGGGTTAAAAATTTTAATATTAAAGGCAGAGTTAATTATACAAATGATGGCTACTTGTCAGCTTACAATTATAAATCAAAAGTTAATGCAGTTATTAAATCTCCAGTTATTGATGACGACTCGCTTGAATTACCATAAGGCTTACGTTTAATAAATAAAATTTTGAATTTGATTAATTAGTAACGAAACTTTCATTATAAATTAATTTAATGAAAATTAAACCCATCATTTATAATTATAATAATTATATTTAACTCCAGTTAAGTGAAGTAATGATAAAGAATGGATGCGGGAAGAGGAAGAGTAGTATATTTTTTTTTTCTTTTCTTTCTTAACTTTTTTTCATTCGGGATAGTTTAAATATGTCATTTGCTTATGTGTAATGATCAGTGAATCAGAACGGAGGGTTGGGCACTTCAATATAGTGACGCAACGACCATAATAGCGTATGAATCCGGATCCTTTATAATTTAGGAAATATGGATCATGGCTCATAAAGTTTGTATAGATTTTGATATTCGCTTCGAGAGAGACGGAAAATATTACTTCTTGTTTAATTGTACTATCAAATAATGTTAAAAAAAATTTGCCAGATCTTATTTCTTAAACGATGTACGCGCGATTTACATGTGAAATTTCCTATTTAATTAAGGAAATAATCGATTCTAGTATTTAATTGTAACAAAATTAGCGGCCTTTTTCACGAAATTTTAACAAAAATGCGTACAAAATGAAGTTAGATTGTATATAAAAGTTTTATTCTTACAATTAACAGAATCTTAAAATATTAAAAACATCGTAAAATGTCATCAGTCTATTCATTAATTAGTTCTTTTATTTTATTTTATTTTTTCTAAATGTTAGCAATTTTAATTAAATATAAGAGAAAAACAACTGAGTAGATTATGTATATTTTTAGTACTGAGTAAGGTTTTATGTGAATATTTACAATTAGTAAATTAGTGAAGTCAGAAAGGAGTAAATTCTTCTCATTGTTGTTTTTTTCTTCCTAAAACATCACCTGATGTCTTATATGACATTTTATTTACATTTGCGATAATTGTACGAGGAAATTGGTGAGTCACGTAGAATATTTTGCAAAAGTCATACGCATATAAACTCAATCTGTCATCGAAAGAATGGCGTCCTGAAAATTTCAGCATTCCTTGCTCTTTAAATAGTATTTTAAATATAAATATATATACTTAAATGGAGTTTCAAATAGCATTGAATTCGCCAATATAATCGGCGCCGAATTTAGACCTGTGGCCTTAAGATATAATATATACAAGAGCCTTCTTCCATCAAGTAATAAACTTGTATGAGTCTAAACTCCACTCTTGTAACGTGAAGCCTTNTTTTTTTTTCTTTTATGAATTGTAAAATGGATACTATTGTTCGTTATTTCAACGCGAAAATTGATGAAAATAATCCCTGTATAAGCAATTATCACGCGAAACTTACATTAGCAATTCGATGAAAATTCTTATAAATGTTAATCTATAGCGACGTTCGAAGAAAAAGAAAACAATATTAGCTTAATACATTATATATATACACATATATTAAATATATAATTACGAGGAAAATATATATTTATTCCCTCGAAAATAAATATTATTGTATTTATTCATATAAGGAAGTAGCAAACGACTGATTAAATATGATAATTCGCTAAATCAACCTAAATATTAATATATATATGTGTGTCTGTGTCCGGAAAACCTGCTATTTTATGCACTTAAGTGAAATAGAATTACATTAAACACGTAATTTAAATAGAATGCAAACGTTTTTTAAAGTCAAAATTAAATTGATTTCTATGGAGAATGGAAGAAAAATATATATTAAAAAAAAGTAATACACTTTAAGTGAATCTCTCTCAGTTGGACTTGGAAATATCCTGATACAAGTCAGTGGCTTTTGTTATATATCAAAAATCAAGGTACAAAGAATGAATTTTTGCCTATCTGACCCTTTTTTTTTCTGTTTGTAAAAAGTTAATCTGGTTCATTTCCCGGACGTCTGATTCTACAATTATATCTTATCTCTGGCTGCATTTAGAATTGGTAAAGCGCTTTATGGAAATGCTTCAAGGACAATAATTTTTGATTTGATTCAGACTATCTTATCGATGTCTGAGTTTCTTTTCTTAAAAGCCGTCACCGGACGAGATTTCTTTCGGCATTAAGTACGTATATCATATAAGAATATAACAATGAATAGGTATATTTCCATCCGTTATGAATGATAACTTTTCGAGATGCCATTCATTGAGGAAGCTCATTAAACCGAGAATACCCCACGTTAAATTAGATAGACTATACAATTTATGATTACTAAGAAATTTATTTAAATTAGTATTTAATTAAGTAACAAAATTAACAAATAAATTAGAAAAAGTATATTAAATTCCTTATATTTTCATGTATTTAAAAGAAAAGATCACTCACTCACTATAAATAATTTCATGTAAATTTGCTATAAAAGTCATATACTAAACAATAAATACATAATTATACATTACTTCTTAGCTTTATTTTTTTTTACATTTTATTCTTTAATTTATTACCATCCAATTTTATTTATTTACTACACATTAATTTATCATTGCTTCGAAATAATTACTTCAGATAAATAATTTTTATCAATTTTATTTTAAACATTTAACTCAATATCGATTAAAAATTTGATTTTTTTTCTTTTTTTTTTTTTTTGTTAGTAGAGAAGAAGATGAAAGGATGCTAAGGGCCTGTAAAATGATT